CCCGATGGCAAACACCGACGGGGGGGGGTGTGGGGTGGGATAAACCGTGTCGCCTCACTTGTCCGTGCTAGCGCGTCTGTTCACGTCGACTCGCCTTCAGGTTGTCGAATGGCGTTTTTTATAGTTCGTGTTTTATCGGTTGTCACATACCCGCGAGGGCATGGCAAACAGGATATTCTCCAGAGAAAGATAGAGAGAGGGAATAGGAGGAGGAGTGAGGAGCCAACGCGGCTCGTCACGCGCACACACACACACACACACACACACACACACACACACACACACAGATCCCAAAGATACTCTAGTCGAAAATGTAGCCCGTCATGGACAGCATTCCGAACCGAACGTAACTGTCACACTACCGATGGCGCCACCACTTCAGAACTGGCACTTACGAAATTCAGCCTGAAAAACACCAAAATAGAGGAACTTGCCCCATAAGAACACGTGCTCACTCTCGACGCGTACACGTAAACCTATGCATACGACGTATGGAGATACATTGGTTGCCTCACGGGAAATCACGGGAAAATAACTTCCTTACGTTGTGGCGCCATCTGTAGATGACATCAACATCGGTTCGTACGCGCGGGGCCGAAGGTTGAGAATTGGATATGCTACGGTTTTCTCAAGTTCTCTCCATTTCTTTCTTCGTTTTGCCCGTTTGCGAGCTCATGTCCACTGCTGAGATAGCAGCGATGCTGAGTTTACATCTTTTTAACTGAGAAGGTACCGTTGCGCCGTTCCAAATATTATACATTGTTCCCCCTGCTGGTTTTGCTCTATTTGGTACAGAAACTTAACATAGACTTGGACGGCAGTTGGGGAATCAACAAGCTTGGGCAATGTCTCATGGAGGCGCAATCTCCGTTCGTAGAGGCTGCGCTGAGGAGCACGCGGGAGTCCATCAGAGAGCGCCTCGACACGATGAGCGGGGATCTCGAGAAGCTCGAAGCTGACATGCCAGAACACGACCGACAGGCGCCCCTTCAAGAGATCATGGAAAGGACTCTCAATAGCGTACAGCGTCACTTCGAGGCCCGCGCAACCAATGGCGCGGAGCCTGTACGCGATAACCTCGACATGGAACTTCTGGATAGAGAGCGAGAGAACCTCAACATCGCTCTTCGTACCCAGAGTCTGTACAAGGACTTTATGGATCAGGTACTTCAGATCGCACCGCAGTGGTTGACCGATAGCTACAAGGCCAACATTCAGAAGGAAGTCGAGAGTTCTTGCGGGGGTGATATTCGACCGCAGATTCCCAACGCGGAAATCAGCCTCTTCCGTCGGGCATACCAGCAAAAGGTGAGCACCACGCAGATTGGCAATGGAAAACGAAATAAATCGCAAGAAATTCCTCAACAGACAACTTTTACCTTATATAGGAACAAACCCACACATGCAAATACGAACAAATCCAAAATGCACGCACTCATTCACTCTGCTGGCGACTCTTCAAAAACAAAATTTGAGGGTATCATGCCCGAATTAAAATGTATGGATGGGTGTGTGACGGTGAAAGTGTGTGTTTGTGTGTTGTCATTCTGAGGAAGACTCAAGATTTGAAAGTTTGTTTTTGTGATGCCTTCGGAAATGTTGTGAACTCGCTTTCTCTCACAAGATCCTGCCCGTACTAGATATCGATCCGAGCAAAGACCCAAAGGCAAAGAAAGTTAGGCTGTGAGCTTTCCCGCATCGAAAAATAGTTGAGGTATAGTCTCTCGCCCTCGTCGATAAACACCTGTGGGGCGTAGGGAGATGCCCTGAGCACCTTCGGCGGGAAATTACGATGAGGGGACAAACACACGGAGGCAAAGACCGCATGCATTCAGCGTATATGCTACTGGTACGTCTTTGGATAATAGAGCGTGTTATTGGCCCATGAACGAAACGAGCGGGACTTCTTGAGGTGAAGCGCACCGAACGTAGCATATCGAAGCCTTGGTCGATTGAGGGGCAGCGGTGATATGAAGCTGAGAGTTCGGGAGCAGTAAAGTGCCGAGTGCAGCAAGTTGTTTTGGTTGTTGGTGCGCGCCACGGCGCGTCGGAGGGTGGAGAGTGGAGAGTGTCTGTGTGAAAGCGGCGAAACTGCGTGGTGACCAGTTCCGACATGTCAGTAAGAACATTAACCCGCATGGGCAACATTGCTGCTTCAGATAAGAACAGAGCAAGCGACGGCGAATATAAGTTGTAAAAACGTTGCAGGTACGCGTGTGTTTCGAATATCGATCCAGGGTAAGGGGGGGGTGGGTAGGTGACCCGAGTAGGTGACTCCGACATTTTTTATCCGGCGGGGGCGGGATGGGACGAGAACCCCACCTACATTTAATACGTCCCGCTCAACCCGTCCCGTCCAATACGAAGATGACTTTCCACCCCACTTGATCCCCACATCACGTATAGTATTGCTCCCGTCACACAACGCATTTTTTCCTATCCTCACGCCCATTGTGGGCACACTGGTTCCCCTGCGATGTAATTCCCCCATTTCTTGAAAGTAAATGTCGTAACAGGAAGGCGAGAGTACAGTTGACTTTGGATGCGGGTCTTTTGTTTCCTTTTGCTTTTTTTCGCTATTTTGGTTTCGGGGGCGTTTTGCATTACTTTTGGGTGGGGGTTGTAATCCTGTGTGATGCCGTGTGTTGAGAGCCTCTCACGGGATTTCTCAGCTGGTTTCCCACCCCCACCAAATGCTCACGGCAGCACTCCCACCCCGTCCCCCGTCTTAACATTGCCTCGTCTCTTTGTGAAGCATTCCGCTCCACCCTATAGCATCGGAAGTTCGTTGGATTCCCCAACGTTTACAGCACATCACGACGGCGCCTAAAGCAAGCCTTCGTGATCTTCTACCCAAGACAATGTAGATGTCTCGGCAATTGTCACCAATCAGGCTTTTGAACGCACACAGAAAACGTTGTATCCGATGTAGTCTACTCTTTACAACCCGCTGTTCTAAATGCGAACCGTGTGGTTGTAGAATTTTTCAGCCAACCCAAAATAGAGGAGTGTCGCGCTTTATACAAGTGAAGGCAACACCGTGGCGCGCTCTGCGCATTATTTTACTTCAACATCCGACCACATTTTTCCCTCCCATATTTGTTTCCGTTTTCCAACATGCTTCATTGTCTCAGCTGGCGAATGCGTGCAAGGCTCTCGTGAACAATGTACGCAAGTGCGTCAAGGAAGTCCTCGTACTTCTTTTTCGTATGGAGAAAGTGGTGAATATCCGCCCGGAACTCCAGTTGTACCTGTCCACTCGATTGGATAAGTTCCTAGACAAGAGGCTTGCCAAGGCGGAGGAGGTCGTGGCGTACCTGTCGAAAGCCGAGCTGACCAAGCGCGACACTCGAGACGAGACTTACAACAGGATCAGGACCAAAGTGGGAAACCTTGCTGAGAAGGCATACCTTAACACGGAAAAAAACCGTGTCTACTCGCCACTGGAACAAGTCGTGGCCAAGGGCACCGATCCTGACGTTGTCGACATCCCTGATGGCTTCATCATGAGCTACTATAGCCGCGCGATAGAACAGGGCAGGGACGGCCAGGAGGCGACGATTGCTGACCTACAGGTTCGTGTAGGTCGTTCAGTCATTTACCACTAGTGTCCTGTCTCTAGGTACCAATATCATCGTCCCGTGAGTCGCAATGACCAGCCATGGCGTGCTCGGAAGCCTTCATCGTGGATTACAGAGGAACCAAACTGGCGTGTCCATCGGTTGCTGCAGCGAGAAAGGACAAGGTTGATTCCGAGGTTGTGTTTACATAACTATGTAAGATCATGAAATGCCCACGCGAGATGTGAAAACGATTTTCTCGTGATATTTTTGTGTTATCGCTTGTGTTGAATGTATGTCTGGTATATGCCTAAGTAAGATTACGCGTAAGGGTTCAGAGGGTTCTTGCAAATCCGAGCCCTAGAGCGCGTTTTTCAGACTGTTTTTTGCATTACGCGCGCGGCCGGCCTCCGCTCGCCGCGAAACCGGCGGGGATCGGTAGCCCCTCGCAGCGGGCACCCTCCCCGCCCGCCGGGCCGGCGCCTCGCGGCGCTGGGTGGCGGCGCACAAGGCGCGGAGTGGACGCGAAAACTCGGTTCGGTGACGCTGGCTGCTGCCGGTTGACGCAAAAATGAGAACAATACCCTGCCTCAGCTCTGTGACGCAAAAATGAGAACAATACCCTGCCTCAACTCTGTATGTGCGCATGTCCCGCGGTTGATCTCTTTTTTTTTTGCGTTTTTGCGGATGGCGAGGTGTGTGTGGCGGTTACACGGTAGGCTACAGGCATTTCTTCGCGCGTCTCTGGTGGGGATACATCTATCGCTCTACCTAACAAAAACTCTGCCTGTCTGTGTCAGTCTGCCAGAAAAAAATTAGCCGACAAATTTCTGCGCCGACAAACAAACGTCTGCGGAGTAACTTTGTTTGCGGATGGTGCAGCCCGCTCGGCACATAACGAAATTGCGTATTTTTTCGGCGCGTCTCTAGGCGCAAGGCATTATGCGTTGTGCGCGAAAATTGTGTAGCAATGGGTGTGTCAGCATCTGACGCGGTAGGTTGGAGGACGCGTGTTATCAGTGCTCACTCTCTGCCCTATAGGTGAATCTCCTACCGGGCAACCCGCCTGGGCTGTCAAGAAACACAAAAGAACAATACACTGCTGTTATTCTGTGTTTGATGGAAGAAAAAAAATCTTTACATCTGGGGTTTATTTTCCGGCTGGGACCTCCGCGCGTGTTCTAGCTTGGCGTTTGACATGTGGAGCTCCTCCTGTATGAGCTACTGCTGCAGTAGGTCGTGTCAGTACATATAGGCTGCGATGACTGCCACAGGTTTTGGGCGTGTGTTGATGTGCGTTATACGTGAGTTTGTTTCCCGGCTTGCAGCTTTTTCCGGCGGCACTCATCACAGATTATTATAAGTCTGCACTCGCTGTGGCATCAAATCCTGCTGTGTGACCTACTGCTTCAATAGGGTGCATAAGAAGGGCTGCGACGAGAACGAACGGCAGGACTTTTACTGAGTTAAGAAAGCTTGGCATGTCTACCTTCTTTCTCGCTCGCAAGAACGCTGTGTGTGGCATCAAAGCCGGGCGTCAACTCTGGCGATTACCCGTATTCAGACACATTAAGTTCCTGAGCGGCACTATCTTCCGTGATTTGAAAACTACCCGACGACTCATAAACCAGCATATTTTCATCTGTATATGCCCTAGAGAGAAAAGAGCGGGGTGTTTTGCCTGTGGACTAAAAGGCTGACGTTAGCTGCCAGCTCAGATTTTGTGCCAGGTCAGACCGCGAGGTTTAGAGCGCGAACGAGTCTCCCCCCGTCTCACAACCACACTGTTCTTCCAACAAAACGAGAAATGAAATCGGGTGCCATCTCTCTGTCCAGTCTCTCAGAAGTTTCCCCCCACAAGCGTAAACCCGTCGACTCCTCTGCCGCTAGAGGCGAACCCCGGGCCATCACCGAGAAGGGTAACCCGGACTGGGATTGCCCCGCACCTCCCTGCCACGGCCACCTCAAACGTGTGAAGAAGAGGGAGGGCGGATTCTTCGCGTCGTGCGACCACCGTGTGCGTGGTGACTCCAGCACCTGCCAAGTCACGACTACACTGCTCGCGGAGAGCAGCGACAACCCCAAGCTTTGCCTGGTGTGTCAAGGACCGGTCCAACTGGACCACTGCTTCCCGTGCCCTACGGCCTGAACAGATGTCGTGCCCGTTGTTCACGCCATGTGCCTTTCTGTCGTAGTTCTTTCATGCTTTTTGTCATGGAAGAAAGCTATATCTCTCTGGGACTATGTGTGCCACGCGTTGACTAGTGCTCCTTCTGTGGGAGATGACGTGCCACGGGAAGGCACGTTATCATTCTCCGGGGCAAAAGTTTCTTACGTTGGTTGTGACTTCTTACAGAAGAGCCAACTCTTTCGTAGTCCGTGGTGCTGCAACATTGTTCACCACTCGCCGTAAAAGTAGTCGGGCCGGTTATTCTCTTATTAAGATGTTCACAAAGTACTGCACTTTTGCCGGTGTCAATTTTTTGCAAGTAGCATGGTCCAACAAAGTTGACCGCACATTGACAGTCATTGTAAGTAGGATTGGTTTCTTTCACCGCTATTCAATTGAAGTAGTGTTTCATTCAAGGCTTCCTACAGAAGAGCCAACTCTTTCGTAGTTCGTGGTGCCATAGTACTGCACTTTTGCCGGGGTCAATTTGGTGTAAATAGCATGGTCAAACAAAGTTGACCGCAGCTTGGCAGTCATTTGTAAGTAGGATTGGTTTCTTGCACGGCTATTTCAATTGTAAGTAGTGTTTCATATACGTCGGTTGTATCTTTTCGGCTGTAAGGTTGCGCCAGTTTTTGGAAATGCGATCCTTCTACGGGGAGTATCGCTAATTAGGGCCACCGCTCCGGTTGCCGCGTATGCTTGGCCGTGGTGTTTTTGTAAGTAGCGTACTTTTCCTGCGAAAAGTAACCGCAGCTTGGCTGTCGTCGTAAGTAACCTTGTGGGTGTTTTTCATGACTACCTCAATTGTAAGTCCTCTTTCTGTCGGTTGTGGATTTGTTGCTGCGGGAGTTGCGCCAGATTTAATAACTACGATCCTCCTATTGGGAGTGTCGTTTTTTTACCGTCAGCGCTGCTGTTGCTGTGTTTTCAAACGGGAACCAAGGATCGTGCGATCTGCCCTTACATGTTCATTGGAATTCAATTCAAATAATAACACGAAAGTTTTTTGTCATCATCCGTCACTCTCTACAGCAGTGTGATTCACCTCACAACATTCGCGAGGAATAACACATTCAACCTCCCTATTCCTTCGCCCTATTCCTTCGCACGGGCAACTTACCTCTGCAACCTCTTGGTAGGAGTCATTACTTTCTTCTTTCAACGTCAACCTTATCCTCTTCCACACATGTTTGTGAGGGCGGGGACGCCAAAGGCGTCCCCGCCCGATCCTTGTATTAATTACTGAATATCTGGATCTATCGGCAATTGTCGGAGGGCAAGCGAAACAATGGTGATAATTGCCACAATTAGTGTCGGACCATGTATGCTTGAAAATGTCGCGTTCTCTATCGGTCTAGTATGGATTTCCCAAGCCTACAGTAGCGTTAACACTGCAATTACGGGTACAGTATTTGTCACGAGTACGAGGGGGGTATTAAGAAACTCGCACTGCCTCAAAGAGAGTCAGGAAACTTGCGACAAATGTCATGGAACCCCGCGACCTGGCTCAGCAGCGAAATAACCAGCGCCTAGAGCGATGAGTGCCTCATGATGCTACTGAACAAATTTGAGTCCAGTGTACGGTTTGTAGTCGTGACCCCAATATGTGAAGTGCACTTTACCATATTACGCCCTTTCGCCTCCTCCTGGCTGTGTGATCAATATCAGATAACGTATTCTACAGTGTCCAATCGACGGTGTTTGGTCTGAGCCGACAGATCTCAGAGGCCTGGCTCGGTGCATCCTATATCGACGACTACTAAATTTTGTAGCCACCTATTGCGTCGACGCTGCATGTACGCACGCTCTCTCACTCACCCGCGATCTTTTCCTTTACATTGCTACCATTACGATCGTCTTTCCCTCGGCTCCTCGCAGATTTCACTGTATGCATACAGCAAAGCAGTGACTCGGCGAATCAACGATGTGGTACCGATGCAGGCCCACCTGCTCTTGGTTACGTCGATCTATGAAACAGACATTTCCAGGGACTTCCATAAACACGACTTACAGTCGGACCTCAAGAGCACTCTCCCGCAAGGCGAAGAACTGGAGAAACTTATGGCGTTCGCCCCAGATGTTCAAGAGAAAGCCATGAAGCTGAAGAATGAGATCAAGCGGCTCCAGAAGATAGCCGAAGCTATTGATTCGCCCTCGCCTTCACGGGCCGCCGAAGCTATTGATTCGCCCTCGCCTCCACGGGCCGCCGAAGACAACCCCCGGGCACCGATGAGGTAGAGCTACATGCTCCCGGAATAGGGACACGCCGAATACATACATCTTTCACGTGCAGAGCAAGTAATTCGGATATATTTTCAGATGCCATCTTGCTGGTATCTTGTCGTCTGCTGTGTGTTATCTGACCCCTTCCACACCGCCGGCCAACCCCCCCCCCTTGGGCAAGGTGTTTCTATTTATAGGTTGGCTAAGGGGTACCGTTTTTCAGACGTTGGCAACTTTCAACCGCGGGCAAATTGCGCCAGCGAAACCTTCCCGAGGTCCAGCATCTGGTCAAATCGGCGTCTTGAGCGGGTTTCCTTATCCCAATATCGAGGTTGAAATATGGCGAGGTCCACCCGTGCGCTAGGATGGTGGAACCGCCGACACAAGAGCGTATACAGGAGGCCGATGGACATACCGGTTTGCCCCCCGCTAAACGCCGCCTCTCTACTGCATACGAGAGGCAACCTGAGGGAGAAAAAGAGTGTGACGGCGTTGTTCAGAGACGCTGTACACTGGGACGTGCATGTGGACGACGTAAACGGCCTGCTTGAGTAGAAAGGGAAGGAGATGACGGATGCGCAAATCGTTCACAGGGTCGAAGCATTCATCTACGAATAGGAAGCAACTCCGGCGTGGGGAAAACAGGATATGGTTGCAGTCATTCCGATCCGCAAACCCGAGGTCAGAATTTGATGGAGAGACTCTCCAGAGCGGGCAGGGTCGAGATTGCTGCACAGAAAAAAACATAATGGCCGGAAAAGCTAGGGATTTGCGTACAGGGCACAGGGTCGGGCTTCTGTGGCAAACGAGGGGAGCGTCACGAGTCAAACAAACACCATGTAAAGTCCATGAAAACCCCGATCCAGGCTTGAACTGACCTTTCAACAATATTAACATTATCAGCCCCATGTGCTTCACCCGTAGCCACTCGGCTACCTCGGCAACATGACCAGAATCCACGTTGCCGAGGTGAGCAAAACAAGCAACCCTACAGCGGGATCTGATTTGAAAGTGCCTCCTCTGGGCAGGGCGTGCCCCCTGTGAAGGGGCACATCACGTTCCCCTGTAAGGTGCTGATTTCGCGACCCTTNAAAGGCAGACGAGGACATAAACAATCTCGCACCGAGACAGGGATATCCGTAGAGACAGTCTGAACGCGACAGCAAACGGGGGAGAGGGCAACAGAACAACTAGTCGCTGAAATTCAACCGCAACATGTCACGTCACGCGGTCGGTCTCTTCTCGCTTGCTTTCTTCCCGCGCCGTTTCCTCCCGCCCCCCTCCCGCCCCGTTGATTGGTGCCGTATTTAGACTATTTTTGGGCCCGCTGTCTCCTCGTTTGATGGCTCGTTTGCAGTAGGAGCGCCCAATAACGCGCGACCAAGTACGCGGACTGCAATGCACCATTTGCTGCATAAAATTATTACTACTCCGGAGTTGCTAACAATCATTGACCGCTAGGTGTCCCCGTACCTCAAAACAGAGCAAACTAACATACCGTAAATGACACAATATAAGAAACCCCGGTGGTAACATTTTGGGGTTTGAAAATATTACCACCCGGTCTGCTATACTGTGGGGGGTGTGATATATTGTGTACCCCCGGTGATAAAGTGCAGCTCGCATCGGCACCAAGGGGGTGTGATAAATAAGGGGGTGTGATAGCGCGTCCGAACACCCACAGCAAGGGGGTGTGATAAATAAGGGGGTGTGATAGCGCGTCCGAACACCCACAGCGTGTGTTTGGGGGTGTCATAACAAACGAACAGCCACAGCGTGTGTTTTGGGGTGTGATAAAATGAGGGGTGTGATACCGATACACTGCACACCATTACCGTATAGAGTCGAACCGCTGCTGCCGTACACCTGAAAGGGTGTGGTATTGCGGAGGTGTGATAGGTATACATGCCTGCACCAACACGTGTAGTGTATTTAGGGACCTACGGTACCTAAAGGGGCGCGGGACAAAAAACAAAGTGGCTCAACCGAGGTGAGGGAACGCCTGAGCACATGGCCTCGGCGAGATCAACCTTCTCAACGCAAAAAAAGTTGGAAACACGATACGGGCTTGAATGGAGCAAGAAAGTATTGTAAGTCGAAGGTATCTCGCCCAATACGATGATTGGCGGTGGGCACAGAGTGCGCCATCCTTTCTGCCCCCCTCACAAAAGGTTGGCTGCTGCGTGCCTTGCTTTGGGTACGAACCAAAGAGAGTTACCTAGGTACCTATACCGGTACGTAAGAACACCACGAACAAGAATCAACGACCGCAAACCGCAAACCAACGAAACACCAACAACGTTGCACTCCACGCGGCGAAGAAAACAGGCGACTTTTTCTTCACACTCGCTCAAAGACGCCCGACGGCAGAGAAAGATACGCCAGGAAAAACCCAAGGAAACATGAGAAGACACCACAAGCCATTTTCTCAACACTAGCATCGCTGCCGATGCCTCACAGCTCCCCGCCCTCGTCGTCGCTCACGTCCACCACCACCGCACCCGTCTCGTCGTCATCGTCGATGTCCAACACCTCCAGCAAGTTCTCGTTCTTGCCTCCTGACGGCGGGTCAGCCTTGTCCGCAGCGTCCGATGGCCCGCGGATGGGCTCCCCCTTGGCGTTGGAATCGAGCTCCTTGTTGGCCCAGGCCTCGTCTCCCGACCCGTCGTAGGGCAGCAGCAGGCCAGCCTTCCTCCAGCTCGAGCGGATTTCGTCCGCGGTCAAGGCATCCCACGCCTTCTTGACCCACTGTGCGACCAAGCCCCGCGAAGGGGGCTCCGGATAGCCCCGCTCGTTGCGCGTGACGTCTTTGGAAGCCATGTGGTCGTCGTAGAGCTTGGACATGTTTGCCTTGAAGATCTTGTTGACCAGGCCATCGCAAGGCTGGAGCTTTGGAGTCAGGCCTCCCGGGATGAGGAACAGCGTCGTGTTGGACTCCTTCATCGCCTTGGTAGACGCGTCCGTCTTGTGGACGGTGTAGTCGTCCCACGCAAGAAGCGTGTCAGGCTGACGGTAGCCGCCCAGGCGGCCGAGCCGCCCCGGGCGCCGGTTCCACACCTGCGGCACCCACACCTCGTCGAACACCCGCTGGGAGTGCCATCCCTTGGGGTCCACGGCGTAGGCCATACCTCGCGGGTACGCGCAGCCCTTCTTGTCCCTGTAGTCTTTGAACTCGCGCTCGATGCTGTTGGCGGCGGGGGACTTCCCCTTCGGAGTGGGCTGACCCTTGAAGATGAGAAGGGGCTGCAGCTTGGTGCCGTCGGCGAACACCGTCAGAACCGATGTGATGCGCATCTTCTCCTTGCCGCCGGTTTTGACGGAAATCTCCTTGTCGCCTGTGGCCTGCGGTATTCCGAACAGCGAAACCGACATCAACGTGGGGTGCGTCGAAACGACTTTTGTTGTAAAGATTCGGAAAGTGGCAGCAGTGCGTGCAAAAACACATGATCAGAATCACAGGAGAACAGGAAACGAAGGAAAAGACGAAAATTTCGCACACGTAGAAAGTTCATCATCAAAAGGGTGGCCCAAAAGAATCGTTGGCACAGGAAAGGACAACATTGCTACATCTAACGCAGTAAGAGCAAAAACTAGAGCAAAACTATTACGTACGTACTCACGTTCACAGTGTCCTTCCCCGGGCTCTCGAACCACGTGGGGGTTTCGTCCATGTTGCCGATCTGCGCCAAGTCGAACTTGAGACGCGGACCCGAAGGAATCACAGCGCCACTCCCACCCCCGCTGCCGCTCGCGCTGGCTCCCGCCCCTGCCGCAACCCCCAGGCACTCGACTCCGTCCGCAAGTTCGAGCGCGGAAGGCACGTCGTACTTCAGCGTCCTCCACTCCTTGATAGCCTGCATGGCGATCACGGGCCAGCCAGAAGGAAGTTTCTGGCCTTGTCGGGTGACCGCTCGCACAGAGAAGCGGTAGACCCTGAGAAACCTCCTGCACCACTGGTTCTGCCTGTTGTTGTACTTCTGGCAGCCCTGGAGATCGGATGGCGCCGGCCTCTCTCCGAAGAAGTTCGGGTTGAGTTCGACGGCCTTGTTCTTGAGCATTTTCGTCGAAACACGGGCGGAGATGCCTTCAGAACGCAGCTCGTTGATCCAGTCCACGATCTCGCCCTCGGCCGCTGTGTGCGTCCGGATCCGTCCGGCATGCAGCGACAAGCGCTTGTTGGCTGGCGTCTTCTTGCGCTTCGCTCCGCCCTTGTACGTGTCCATTTTCGCCAGCGCGGCTTCGTACTTGTCGATCTCCTTGACCCACAACGCCAACGTCGATTTGTCGCGAATGCCCAGGACTCTGCTCGCGTAGGTTATCCCAACAGTCCCGTCCGGCCCTTGTGCCCCCTTGACCCTCCTCTGTGAGTACCTCACCGCATCCACCTTAAATTTCAGAGGGTAGCGCTTCCGTTGGCTTCCGCCACCAAACTCGGGGATCGGGAAGCCCGGCGGCTCCAACTCCAGCTGTCCTTTCTTCCTCTTGTTCTTGTTCTCTGCCGGCGTACCGAAGAGAACGCCGCCGAGCCCATCTCCCCGCTCTGTTTCTCCGGGAAACATCATGTCGCCGGATGCATCACCTTTGGCCACCGGCGCTCCTCCCGCTGCCGGCGTTGCTGCTGCCGGTGCTGGAGCGGGCGCCGGTGCTGAAGCGGGCGCCGGTGCTGAAGCTGGCGCCGATGCTTGACCTGGCGCCGGTGCTGAAGCTGGCGCCAGTGCTGGGACGGGCGCCGGTGCTGGAGCTGGCGCCGATGCTGGAGCTGGCACCGGTGATGCTGGACCTGGAGGCGCAGGGGGTGTGCCACCCACCCTAGAGAAGACAAACGGAGACAAAAAAACGTGTGTGCGGGAAGGCACGAAGCGGTTCAACGGTGGAACGCACGGAAACGTGTGTCGTGTGGGCAGGAACCAAAGACGGTATGCTGATTGTTTTCTAGTCGACAAGGGCACCGATTCCAAATGTCGAAAACTCGTCGGCGGTTGAAAGCACAGGTGAATAAAAAATATGCAAAGCAGGCACCATTGAAAATTAACCAGGGTGGTATGGATGCCAGCTGCAAAACAAGAGGCAGCATTTCCACGACACATAACGCCATGCAGGAACATAAACGATAAAATGTGCACAATACCGACGTAGGTATGGCCATAAAAATAATACAACGAAACAAATGACGGAACGGGCACGCAATCGTTTACCAGGAACGTGTTGAGCCACACGCACACAAAACAACTCACAACATGTGTGCCGGGAACGTGTGGCTAAAAAAAAAAGGCCGCACGCAAAATAAATAAAGTAACGATAAATGTACCTACCGGGAGAGTGTGGCGCAAAAAAAAAAAAATACAGCCACACGAACCCTGGGTTGGCGTAAAGGCTAACCCACAATTGCACGTTTCGAGACCACACGCGGACTGATACTACGGTACGCCAAATCCACGAAGCACAAACCATGCACACTCACTTGGATCTTTCTTCCGTCCCAGCGGAAGTGGTGGGCTCCTCGTCCACCACGTCCACCAACTGAGATGCTTGGCTGCTGCGCGTTGATTCGTCGGCTTCGGTGCTCGAACGCGCTGCTGACATCAAGCCAGCAACTGGCTGCTGCTGAGGCGATGCAGAGGCTGTCATGTTTGCGCCTGTTGCTGCTCCAGCTCCTTCTGCTGCTGTTAGATCAACAGCAGCAGCAGGAGCAAGAGTGCCGGCAGGAGGAGCCTCTCTCGTAGAAGAAGAGTGCGCGGGCCCAAAGAAGGAGGTGATCTGCTGTGGCGCCTGTGCTGCTACAGTCGAAGCAGTTGCCGAAGCAGCGGTCGAAGGAGCGGGGGTACTACCGGTAGTGCCGGCTACACTCTGCTCTGCCTGCATGTTCATGTTCTTTGGGGTCTGCATGCGGGGTGTTCCTCCGCACACAGCTGTGTGTGTGGTGTGATGATGCGCAAGGGCAGATGCTGTCACCCCGGGTCATAAAAGAAGGAGGGGGCCCGCGAATGCATGCGGCGCAACTACAAATACCACCGGGGTTTCTTATATTGTGTACCCCCGGTGATAATTCGATGGTCTGTCAGAGACGCCCAAAATTACCACCGGGGTGTCGTATACTGTGGGGGGTTTCTTATATTGTGTAGACTAGGTGTCTTATATTGTGTCGTTTACGGTATCTCCAAACCAGTGAACGCGTACACAATCTTGCGGCCACAACATCGTACCAAACATCGTCAACAACCGCCGTACTATACAACATCAACATACCTTCGAAGTGCTTCGCATCCAGTCGGCATCTCAACGATAGACTACTACCGTTCATCATGCACCATATTTGCTGCTTGTTTGTATCGCCGCCTGCGCCGTTTCCACCGGGAACAACCTCGCGAACACAAGAAACAAAGCTCAGTCAAAGCTCTGCTGCTACAGCCCTAGGCGGCGACTAGCACGAAGCAATCGCTCCAGTATGGTTCTCGATTGCAATGCACCAGTAGGAGTGACGCAAGACCAGTCCTCGGCGTAGTGTTGCAAATGTGCACAAAAACCAACGGCGAACAATTGAACACCATCCAATAGCAACAACATCGCCCCCCACTAAACCTCCCTATCTACCGGTACGCTTTCTCCAAGCGCCTCCTGATTTTGAGCATCTTCTGGATCTCCGCTTGCATAATTACGCGCTCCATTTTTCCCTGGCTCCTTCCGTATCACCCCTGCTCGTCGCTGCCACCGCCTTTCGCACATAACTGATTGATTTTGAACATGAAGGCAACGGCATCCCAAGGCGGGGGCGAGAGAGACACGCAAAGAGCGATAAGGCGCGGTGTATGATTCGCAAAGCCGGGTAGAGTTGTGGATGCTTTCGCAAGAATACTACTTGAAGTCATATGGCAAACGGAGAAGCAGGTGACAGTACCCAGTCCGAGGTAAAGGGTGCGGAATAAAACGGGATAAAAGAACAGGTAGTGGATGGGGGAATGTTGGTGGAAAAGATCGCCTTCACAGAATCAGGACGATGGTTATGTACACAAAAGGAGTGCTCCTCGTAAGCTGGTCATGGAGACATTTTGCAGGTGAAACAATGCACGAAATAACTTTGAGAAGCAGTGGCCAGAAAACGCTTGAACAAGAGGCTCTTCAGCAGTATACACCGTTAACACCTGTGTTATCCCTCGGGCGTTTATTCTTCTGAAACAAAACACAAACCCTCGGCAAAAAGTACCCGCTGGCGGGGCTTTTCCGCGAAATGATTTGATGGTCCACGCCATAACTACACATACGCACAGAGTGGCCCGCGATGAAGTGAAGTCTGCGAGTAAGCATGGAGGCGGCAAAGGGAGAAACCTTGCCAATCTGGATATGACATTTTCGCCCTCTGATGCTTGTAGTGCTTCGCGGTACCAAACAAAACAACCCGAATAAAGGGGAGATATTTACTCGTACCATTGGGGAAACTCGTCTTGAAATGGAAAGCATTCAAGTATTGCCCTTCCTTATCGATCAATCGATGAGCGGTGACTTCCATGTTCTGGCCAGGGCATCTCTTGTCTGGTTAAGTGGTAAAGGCGGGGGGGCCGCGCAGTCGAAAGGCAGGTAGGGAACGGGGGAAATCGAATAATCGAGAACAAACCAACATACATACATACGCTGGCGCTGCTGGACCGGAAGAAGAACGAGGTGAACGGCATAATTTGCATGTGCTGGGTACGCTGAACAAAATGCTGTACGTCACGAACATGTCGGCTGCAAGTGTGACTACATCGATTCGCTCCTCCTGCTCGCTCAGACCTACCTCTCCCTGTCTGTTGCGCTCCACTGCTACAGCAGTAGCGCCTCAACGCAGCCCTTCAAAGCCCTTTACCCTTTGATCCTCTCCTTTCTCCGTAATTCGGACCCTCAAAAAGCCGCGGCAGCCGGTCGTACGCCTACGCGGGGCGGAAAGGAAGGCTTAGCACGGGTCATTTTCGTTCCTCATTTTTATCTTTGTGTACTTGTAACGTTCAGAGACCTGCGCGGAAAATGAAAGAAAAAGATTGCATGGATTTCCTGACACAATTATTATTGTTTCGAACATCTCGTGTGGCGCGGTTTTGCACACACAAAAACACACGCGCACACACACACATGCTGCTCCTGTCCATGACCAGGCGCGCATCTTGTTGAGACGGAGAAGAGGACACCGAAAGAAGTACAGATGATGGCACACATGTTGGGTGTTGCCTCGCGGTGTATGCCATGAGCTGATGATAAGACTAGGTAGATACCACGCTGCTGTACAAGTAGGATGTACAACTGTACTACAATAGAAAATAAAATAAAAGGGGATTGGACAAAATCGGGACGTCCCTGGGGTACAATGTGCAAAATCGGGACGCCTTCTGAACGTGCCGCGGCGCGACGACGCACACACCCAATACCACACGAAATCGCGCCACAGCGCCTCCACCCGCCGCGCACAAGGCGCGCCGACCCTCTGCAACCCTTTTTTTCCTGCTCAACAACCTAAAACAGTGTAGACGCAGCCGCGTACAAAACCCTCTCCGCAGACCACCCGATTTTGTCCTAAAACCTGCAGGGTCGACCCCTACCCCGAGAAAAACATTATCTCCGACCCTATTTTGTCCATCTGACCACCCCTTGTTGTTCACCAAAGCCGGTTCGTGGGGAGTTTGAACGCGGCCATCTCCCCGCAGCACCACCAGCCGATACCCGCAAAAGAGCCAGCAGCAAAAACACTCCGCAGCAGGCAAAAAAACACCGACCGACAACAACTTGCCGCCCGCCGGCAAGCCACCACAACTGAAATCGACCGCCGAAAGAAAGATCCGACGCTGGGATCATCAGTCGCTCTGCAGCGAACAGACATTCGCGGAAAAATTCCTCCGCTCTGCCCTCTCGCCTCTCGCCACTTCCCTCTCTCCCTCTCCCGCCTTCTTCACAAGCGAGGGCGAAGGCATTATTGGTGCAAGTAAACATGTCGTCGTCGGCGGCGGCGCTGGTGCCACCGCCGAGCAGCACACCGCAGCCTCTGCACGCGCCCCGTCCTAAGATTGGGGAATGCTTTTCGAGCAGCGTCGAACTCCGGGTAGCGTCAGAACGCGCGATGTTGCGAGACAATCGCACGATGATTGCCGACGCTCGTGGCGGCGGCGGCCACGCGAAGCTGTACCGCTGCTCCGGGGCTATCATCGAGAAGGGCTCGAAGACCACAGGAGGATGCCAGGCTCATGTCAAAGCCAACAAGCGCGCGGACAAGCACTTCTACGTCACCAGCGTTTGCTAGATCACCGAAACTGCGCGGGAGGCACGAAGAAACCGAGCGTCGGGGCCATGGCTGGTCGATTTCAGTAGTGGTGGCTTGCCGGCGGAAGGCGCGGTGGTCGTCCGCGGCAACCCCAAGGTCTCTGCTCCTGCGCTCGCGAAGACGCTGAAGGGCGCCCACAGGGTGGACATGGCGACGTGGGCAGCGGGCCGTGTCAAGCGCGGCGTGACCAACGGTCAGGAGGACACGAAGAAGGAGGGACTACTGCAAGGTGGGTGTTGGTGTGTAGATGGTGCTGCTTCGGTGTAGACCGTAGACCGTTGTACACCATGCTCTTTTTGTTTTGTGGCGGCGGGTGGCGCTACGGTGGGTGGTGCTCTTGTCGGCGCAACTTGTACCAGTTCAAATAGGTAAATTCATTTTTTTTAATTCTTCGGTCGTTCGATACAGAATCAGGAGCGGTATTGTTTGTTGATGCAAACGCTCCGTCGCCGCGTGCGTGCAGCCGTGCACCACGTTGTCTACGACCGTAAACACTTTTCGGTTTGTTTGTCTCGCTGGTGCTCGCATGAATGACCCTGCCTGTTGGTTTGATGACCCGGTTACGTAGAGTTGCGGAAAGTTTTGACCCGGATGTTTCGGTCGCGACAAGGTTCGAATAGAATTGGGATCGAATTCCACGTTCGTTCTTCACTTCTTCTAGCGGCCCTTTCGTACCCATCGTAGCCACCGTCGCAAGCGCGCTCACGTATGGCTGTATTTGAAGCCACCGCCGAGCGTGGTGTACCAAAGACTTGTTCGCCGTATGTTCATCTGCGTTGCTTCCCTTTCGTTCTGTCGACGCTCGAGGTGTCGGCAAGGGTGTGCGCTTTTCGTTGAATGGTGCTTTAGCCCGCCGGTACAACTTTATGCGGCCCACTTTTTGTCGGTGCGCGGCGTGTAGTGAACATACTTTTCTGTCACGTTGTGTAATGCAAAATCCCTTCCACACGTCCGGTCAAGTGTGTGAAATCGGCATTGTATGAGGCCTCTATTTTGGTTTAATTGAGGTTCATCAAACACTTTTACGAACACACGTTCCTGTTTGACGCCCTGCATGCCACCACCACCGAACGCCACAGCGCTTTTTTTTTTCATTTTGTTGGAGACGTAGCTCTCTCCGGTGTTTTTAGAGGGCGTACACACACACGTTCTTTCGCTCACGGCCCACACGCCGTCCTAGTGTGTCGAAGATGTGGATGTGGTGGCCCCCCTCCTCCTTACCAAATTCGAGCGCGCACCATTTTTTCGTCGCCATAAATATATAAATACTTCATTTTCTTTCGCTTCTTCGACCGCGACTGGTCGACGAAGTTCGCGTTGAGACGTGTCAACGTGTTCTTGGGTTGATTGGAAACCCCATGTACGCGAACCTTAGCCTTCTCCACCGAAGCTCCACCCCCTCCAAGCACCCGAGGCAATGTGTATAGACGTGTTGGAGATGGTGCCGATGCAGCAGCAGACCCCCAATGGAGGCAATGACCAACCCCGGCCATACTATTCCTCCGTGGGTCACCTGCGCTCGCTAGTGTCTCACTGCTGTTTCGAGTAACGCCACATCCGAAGAGAAAAACTCGAGAGAAGTTGGCTTGGCGCCCTCTCGCCAACCCCCGTCGACCACGGTAGCCGTGTGGTGGAAGGGGTGCGAGGTCTTAGCGTGTGCCGGTGTTGGTGTCGTTCGCTTCTCGTCGAGTTAAACCTAGTCTATCTGTGCGGGATCAAGGGCCGACACCGTCAAAGCTGAGCACCAGAGAGGTCCATGCGCGAGATGACAGCACTGCAAGTACAGCTACGACACGGGACGTTGCAGTCGTACCGTCTTCGTGTGCATTGGCAGCAAAACGCTTTGCCCACGCCGTGACATCGCCTGAGTTCCCGTGCACCATATGTCTTGGCTTCCAGGAAAGAAAGTGTATCACGGCCGTTTCGGTGGGTTGTCGTGACCAAACCATCAACGAGACGATGTGTGTTTCCACATAACCCGTGCGACGTTCGTCTTGCCACTGCCATCAACTCAGGTTGCCTGCATGGACTTTTGTCACTGCAAGGGCGACTGGGACGGGACGATCGGGGCCATCAGCGTCAAGAGCGCCAACAACAACGTCCTTCAAGTGGCGACGTGCCTCCACCCGAAGGAGACCGCCGACGCCTACACCTACCTCATGTCCAACGCCCTCAAGAACCGGGAGATGGCAGCGTTTCTCAACAAGCCCACCACGACCATCATCACCGACAAGCACAAGGGCTCGGAGTCTGCCGTTCCCAGGGTGCTGCAACTCGCAGAACACCTGAAGTGCGCGGAACACATTCTGAAGAATGCGGGGACTACCGGACCGGTAAGACGGAATTTCAGGGGTGGTTCGGTGTGCTGGTCGTTGCTTGATTTGCAGTTGCTACCAATCTTAAAAACCCAACCTCGCCAAATCGTCCAATAAAAGTTCGCTCTCTGCGCGTGCTGGGTAGCCCTTGAGCGTGTGTGTTGAACTTTGTCGAAGAGTTGCGCATCGGAGGGCGGAATTGCAGCAGTGCACCGGAATTGCAGCAGTGCACCGGCACACCAGCTCACTGTTTGTACCACCCCCGTCGCCCCGATTCGCCTGCCATGTTCTGTCTGTCATTACCGTAGATATGTTACGGCCAAACCATGTACCAAGTTGCTGGCCCTTACGTTCTGTCCCATACTTGCTGACCCTTCGTCTCTGCGCAGCAAGGCCGCGTGTTCATGTACGAGGCGGCACGGGCGACAGACAAGGCAACGTGCGAGGCCAACATCGACAAGATCGCGGCCCTCAACCCAGCTGCCGGGAAGTACATCCGCCTGCAAACCCGCCACGAGTGGGCGATGTACGCTACCCGCGGCAACGTCGTCCAAGACCAGGTCACGTCCAACATGTCGGAGACGGCCAACAACATGATGGGACCGGATGTACGTTTGTTGTGCCTTTGTTTTTAGTTCCGTCATTAAAGTTGGGCCTTTTAAGTTGCGTCATGACTTCCAACTGCCCGTCCCACCATTCCAATTACGCATGGGCGGCGTGAGTGGTTGATTTCCTTCCTTGGTTTTGGGCCCTTGCTTCTTGGACCCTGTCCCCCCCCCCTCCTCCATCACCCGCAGTATGTTTGTCGTGGACTGCGGTCGTGTGGCTGGCCCCCACTTGAGTTTCCCGGCATAATATTTCCCAGCTCTTACCGGAGAGGCTTCGAGAGAGATGCCCATCATGAGAGCTTAGTGTGTCTTACCACCCCTGCCATGTCTTCGCGTGCTTCCGCTCGTGTCGCAGACACGGTCGAAGGCGCCGCTGGATTTCTTCATGGACACCGCCTTTCAGGGCCTCGACAAGCTCGCGAGCCAGGCGAACATCCAGATCAACAACCCGGCCGCCGTGCACACCCCACACGCGGTGAAAGTGCTTCACGCCGAGATGGAGTGGGCGAAAACGTAAGGGCGTCACCACTAGTACTCCGCCGATCTGTGCACCCAGCGCGTGTAGTGCCTTGTGTTAAGTGTTGGGGCTTTCCCCCTCTGGAGTGCGTGTGATGTCTACGCGACGAGGTAACATCACCCGCAGTTTTCCACTGAGGCCCCTGTCGACGCGTTCTTTTTCTAGGATCAGTCACATAAAGTTGTTCGCGAATCGTTGGAAAATCATGGGAAACTGCCGCCGCGTTCTTGTTGCCTGTCCCGGTGTCCGATCCTCGGCTGCTGTATCCACCCTCTTCCGTGGCCGCACGGCTGTGCAGGGGGAGTTCACACGCTATCCTGATTTTTATTTTTCCAGGAACACCGAGAAAAAAGGAGCTCGATACCAACGGGCCTGAGTACATCCTCCCCATGTGCCTTCCGTTCGCTCCCTCCCACTCCCTCGCTTTCCGCCTTGTTCCTCAGGTGCGACGTCAGCAATGTTGGAGGAGACACGTTTGTCGTGTTCCCGAGCGGCAACCGCCGCCACTACAACCGCGTGGAGCTCACCTTCGATGAGGACGACCCCACGAAACACCACTACACGTGCACGTGCGGCTTCTGCAAAAGGTGGCGCATCCCTTGCCGCCACGTCGTCGCCGTGGCGAAAGGTGCGCGCACGATATCATTCTTGCTGGTACGTTGTTCGTACGCACCACGCGTTTGCCACTGATGAGGTTTGGACATCTCATGCATAGGGCTGCTTTCATTTTCGAGGGGGGATGGGCAGAACGAAACACGGATCCGATATGGTACACAGTGTCCAATCACGCTTGGACGCCCATGCCCATATTAGTGCACATGAAATCCCACTTTTCTTGGGCGGGCGGAGCATGCAGCCCACCTCGCTGGTTCTACACAAAACTCGATCCTCTTTTGCCGTGTACGGCCATGACATCGCATGGATGCTGATATGACCTTGCGCTCTTCTTTCCACTCCCGTTCGCTCGCGTGGCCTCCCTCAACCTCGCAGCCCGACACCAGCCCGCAAAGCTCTTGGAGCTCCTCGACGAGGGATACCGCTTGGACAAGGTCCGTGCCGCTGCATCGGACGAGCGGTACCGCGTCACCCCCCCCGTGTGGGCCGCCCTCAGCGTCAACCCCAACCACAAGCCACCCCTGCCGGTGGACGGGCAGGCGGGCCGCCGCAAGACCAAACGCCAGACCAGGCGCAAGATGAGCAACGGCGAGTACGCGACGACCTCGCGGAGCTACGCTCTCCACCTGGCGAGGTCCAACGCCCAGGGCGCCTCCGCTTCCGCCTCCGCCTCGGTGGCGGCCGCAGCCAGCGCCCACGCCAACCACATCGCGAACCTCTCGCAGGGGCAGCCGCAGGGCTCGGGGGAGACGTAGACTGGCAGGGGTGGACCTAGCCTAGCCTAGCCTGGCCATTGGTGAGGTGGCCGGCACTTGCTACTGGGGGCTGTGTAGTTGGTTCTTGCGCGGTGCGTGCACCTTGTGCGATGGTTGCTGCATGTACGACGCCTGGTTTTGGATGGTGACGGGGGGAAGCATTTCGACATCTCCTCACTTAACTTGTCGTTTTTTCGGGGGGTCTTGCTGTCCTCTTGTACCTGTCTCAACATTCTCCTCTCTTTTATGTCACTGCCCATTCTGCCATGTTCTGGGGTGCGAAGGGGTAAGAGGTGCATGCCGTGCGCACGTTCCTGCCTGGGTGTTCGTCCGGGGTGTTCTTCATACATTTGCCAGCAGTTGTTGCTGTATTGCTGGCCCAATGGTTCGTGTGGCGAGGACGGGACAACTGTTTTCATGGTTTTCTTCGGTGCTTTGGTTCCTGCTGGGTTGTTTTTGGCACCTTTTTGTTGGTCGCGCTCTCTGCTTCTTTTGTTGGGTCGTAGCTGACGGTGTAGGTAGTACCACCGTTACCGTTGCGTCCCAGGCGTGGTGTAGAAGTGGTGTCGATTCACTGCACATGTTTTTCATGCTCGCGTCGTCTCAGAGTAGTCATCGGCGCGCGGGCTTCATGCCAGCGGCCGTATTCGGGTGAGCCAACCCTCGACATGTACATGCCCTTTCCCCCAAGTTGAACCTCGAACGAGCTTTCACTTGTTTTCCCTCGGGGGATTTTCTCTTCTTTTCGTGGTGCTTCGCGGCTCACTTTCATGGGCCGTGTTTATGGGCCTTGTTGCTGGTGGTGGCCTAATGCCGAAGAAATCGTATGGCCGGCGCTTGCTTTCCCGTCCTTTGTTTTCACTACCGCACACCGTCGGTGCCTCTCCTGCTGCCGTCTGTTGCATGTCCAACCAAAATAACGAACCACCACTCTGGCCGCCACTATGCTTCCCTCGTACTCAATTTTGTCCAACACACATACTCTGTGGGCCCATACATTCGGAAATACGATCGTTTCGGCGACATAACTCGGCGTTAAATCCGTCCGCCTTTTTCACACCTGCTTCATGTAGTCTTGGGCGAGCAAAACCTAAAATTTTTGGTCTACAATTTGATCTATTGTACCTGGTGCATAATATCAGTTGGCCCATATAAGTTCGTCTTTCGGTTTGGCCCCTACCGTTGAAGCCGGCCTGGATTCCCTACGAAAAGATTTCCTACGAAAAAAGCGTGAAAAACTTGCAGGCATTTATATTTGTTGCGCGGCCGCTCGTTTTCACCCCGTACAAACCAACTTCCAATTTGGCTGTTCGCTAATTACAAGTATCTGCAGAGTCCGAGAATATTGAAAAACAAACGAAAACAATAATACATATTTACGCAGCTATTCGTAGTCCAAGTAGTTATCACTTCAGTATTTAGATTCTTAAATGATATCTCGCATGACAGCGGTTTGTTTTTGGATTGACGGAGGGAAGACAGCGGACAAGGGCCAGAAGACAAACAGTGCTGGCCGCCCACACATATCCCCGGGTGATGTGGTTGCGCGCGCACCGGGCGAGAGGATTTTGCAGTTACTCGAGAGGGAAGTGGCGAGAGGCGAGGGGGCAGAGCAGAGGAAGTTTTCCGCGAATGTCCGTTCGCTGCAGAGCGACTGTTGATCCCAGCGTCGGATCTTTCTTCGGCGGTCGATTTCAATTGTGGTGGCTTGCCGGCGGGCGGCAAGTTGTTGTCGGTCGGTGTTTTTTTGCCTGCTGCGGAGTGTTTTTGCTGCTGGCTCTTTTGCGGGTATCGGCTGGTGGTGCTGCGGGGAGATGGCCGCGTTCAAACTCCCCACGAACCGGCTGTGGTGAACAAAAAGGGGTGGTCAGATGGACAAAATAGGGTCGGAGATAATGTTTTTCTCGGGGTAGGGGTCGACCCTGCAGGTTTTAGGACAAAATCGGGTGGTCTGCGGAGAGGGTTTTGTACGCGGCTGCGTCTACACTGTTTTAGGTTGTTGAGCAGGAAAAAAAGGGTTGCAGAGGGTCGGCGCGCCTTGTGCGCGGCGGGTGGAGGCGCTGTGGCGCGATTTCGTGTGGTATTGGGTGTGTGCGTCGTCGCGCCGCGGCACGTTCAGAAGGTGTCCCGATTTTGCACATTGTACCCCAGGGACGTCCCGATTTTGTCTAATCCCCAAAATAAAAACTTGGGGGCTCCGTGTGATAGTTTCGAGAACCGCCAAAAAAACTGCAAAAACCAGAAGAGTTGAGACCATGTCTGTCCGCAGGAGCCCTCCTGCTGTGTACTGCTGTACCAAGCCCAAGCACAAATGCCACGCTGTCTTCTACGGAATTCGTGGCTTACCAACTTCTCCAGGTACATGTCTTGCGCGAGAGCATCTCCGAGCCCACGGTCCCGTAGGTGCTGCTGGCATCGCGCATCAGGAGTTGAAACCCACGCGCACGCTGATCACGTGGCATGTGCTCTCTTTCGTCGTCCATCCTCCGAGAACTGAAGAGAGCGAGCAAGAACTTCACCACGGTCCCCCCGTGGCTTCAATGCCCATTCGTACCTATCTCTGTCTATGGCCATAGCGTGTGTGAACCACCGGCGTGTGGGAGGTGAGGTGTGGGAGGTGGAGAGGTGCGGAAATTCCAACGGCCAAACCTGTAGACCCCCCCCCCGTGATTCCTATCTTCGCCCGCCCCCCCTTTTCGATTTTGTTTGTTTCTGCCATCTGGTGATGACACGGGCAGCGGGCTGCTTGACGAGGGTCAGCAAGTCTAGAGTAGCAATGGAATTGATGCTAGCATCCCCTCAGAAAATATTCGCTACAATTAGGCAAAATAAACGAGCGGGAGGCGCACAAAATTTTGTGTCCAAAATCTTGCCGCCCAGAGAAGATCACCACGAGAGGAGTGTGGCACAACTTTCCCGGAGGCAGGATCCACACCCACAGCCAAAAGTGTGCATGATGTTGATGACGCTAAGAGCGCGCGTTGTCAAGGATATGGTTGGCGCCGTCGCGCGTAATCAAGGAAAATGATCTCTCGCGACGACGCCAACAACAAAACAAATAACTGATGACCCTTTGGGTACAACATATTCTCCCGCCAAATTGAAGAGTTTTGCAAAGTGAAAGAACTCCCTGTCACAGGGTTGGATCCCCATCCAGGCGATCAAGGGTGTAGGCACCTCCTCAAGGCATCGACAGGGTATGCACCGGGTGAAATTCCCCGAGTGTCTTCGCAGGCCAAGCCGAGTGGCTACGGGTGTTCCCTCGATCCAGACCGTAATGAATGTGGCAAGCCCAACACAAAAATAAGAATTAAGAATGTGTCCAGCCGCCCGTGTATTTTTGGGACCTTGAAGGATATTTCACGCTCGTGTTCTTGTAATGCATCGTTTCTCCCGTCCACGTTGTGTTTCTCCCGATCGAGGTCGTGGGAAGTGCCATCAAGACCGGTCAATGTGTAAGAACCATGACGCGCGCGTGGCCACATCAAAGGGGGGGGGGCGCATGCAAGACAGCACATCCCATTCAAAAAAGCCAGGCCCTAATGAATGTGGTCAGCCCTTAAAGTACCACAAAAAAAAAATGCAGTCACCCGTGCACATACACCCGCCTGCAAAAAACGAAACAGGCCCTTATTAATGTGTCAAGCTGAATACTAAGAATAACAATGGGTTTCGCGCCCGTGTACATAAATCCCATTCACCTCCACAGGCACAGCCCCTAGGCCCCATAAAAAAATAGTCAGCCGCCCGTGCTTGCCCCGCTGCAGTTTGTTGTTGTTGTTGTTGTTTCTCACATTAGCTCTAAAAAAAAAAGATTGGGAGCCCGTGGTCTCAAAACCCGGCATACACGACCCCACGAAGAAACAGAAAAAAATAGGGTACAAAAACCACTCGGAAGAGAAACAAAATGATAGAAAGAAAGACCAGCTACCGCACCAAACGAGAAAGAGCGTCGAGGAGACCGATCAAAATAAAATAAAAGGAGAACGGGGAACGCTTCCCACACCCGCCTACAACGCCGGAGGGTTCCGTGCCGGGTTCCCGCCGACCAGGCATCCCCCGCCCTGCACCACACCCCAGGGGGTGCAGCAAGACGGGGGGCGAAAAACAAACACATATATATTCCCACAAAAAAAATAAAAAATCGAAGGACAACGTACACCAGTACCAGGTACTACAGCAGTGCAGTATGCACCAGCGCATTAGTGTAGGGTAGGCACCGCACCAAAGAGGCAGCAGAGGTGGCAGGCAGCCAGCAAAGGAAAAAACAAAAATAACAAGGAGCTCGAGGTATCGTCCAAGATCATCGTAGAGAGGGCATGGAGAACAAGAAAGAAAGAAAGAAGAAAAGCACAAAGAGAGGCCGGAGGCAATACTAAGAGCATACAGCTTACGGCAGGGAAAAGGGAACACAGGGTGCGACAACATCATCAGTTGGGTACGTCGTTCGCCGCAAGCGCGGCCTTGGCCGCCCTACTCGCTTCTACAGCAGTGTCCGGTCGCCGTTTCTTCCCCCCCCCCGCCGCTTCCCCGATTCTCTTTCTCTTCGGGCCCGGGGCGGCCGTACTCTCCGTCTTTGCTTCCTCCGCGCGCTGGCGCTGGCGCTTCGCGGATGCTTCCGCCTCCTGTCTGTGCCATTTCCTCATGAACCATGCCGCCCCGTCCTCGATCTTGTCGTACCACGCCTCCTGGTCCTTGGCGCTCTCTTTCCATCTCCCCCCCTCCTTCTCCTCTTTCATGCCAAACGCCACGAGGTCCTCTCCTAGGCGATACACCCAGTCGCTCTCCTGCCCGCCCCGGTATCCGGTACCCCCCGCCATCGCTCCCAGCAGCATGCGCTTGGGGAGGCGGTTGTCCTCCATGCGCATAACGAAGCCCGCAAAACACAGCCTCCGTTTGCGCACGGTGGCCTCGATGGTTTCCTCGCAGCCGGCCTGGATGAGGGCCTGGGCGTAGGACAGGGGTCGGTCTGAGCGCTTCCGCTTGCTCCAGCCGATACACCGTGTCAGGAACTGGCGGTGGGTCCCATTCAGCTTGGTGTAGTGCTCCGCTGCCAGGCTCCACGAGGCGCACCCGTATAGGAGGGTCTGCACCACTTCAGCCTGGAGTAGTCGGATCTTGAGCTGGCGGTTGGCCCGTTTCCTGTCGTACATCGAAGTGCTGTTCCGGCGGTAGCACTTCCATGCTCGGCAGATGCGGCTCGTGATCTCCCGGTCGACCTTCCCATCCGCGCAGATGGTACGTCCGAGGTACACAAACCGATCTGTCTGCTTGTACGTCTGGCCAGCGGCGCTGACCGCGAACGGGCGTTCCCCCAGCCCTTTCGGTAGCATGCACATGATCTCCGTCTTTGGCTCCGATACCATCAGTCCGAACAGGCCGGCCACGCGCACGATGATGGACATCATCTTTTCGAGGCTCTCCGGCGTGAGCGAGACGATGGCCGCGTCGTCAGCGTAGAGCATGTCCCACAGGGCCTCTGCGACCGTCACCATCATCGCCTTCTTCCCCGCCGACCTGCCCCTCTTGCCCGTGCACTCCACTCGTGTTGCGATCTTGATCATATCCGCCGTCACCTTGGGGTCCTTGTCGAACTCGGTCACTGCGACCATGCGCATCGCGGCAGAGAACAAGTCGAACAGCAGCGGGGCCAGGTTGCACCCCTGTCGGAGACCTTGGCCGACGTCAAACCATTCCGAGTACTGCCCGTCGTCCGCAGTATCTACGGCTGGCGTTCAGGCGTAGATGCCGCCAAGGTCTTGTGCCACTCTCGCCCTTGTTCTCGCCCCCGCTGCAGTATATGCGGCTGGCGTTCAGGCGCAGTTGCCACCAAGGTCTGGTGCCACTCTCGCCCTTGTTCTCGAGGTGAGCGGGAACGCCGACCACCCCTCTTCCTCCACACGAACGGGTGAAGAAAGCCCGGTGTGACAGTATCTGCGGCGGAAATTATTCGGGCGGTGGGATATTGCGATTGAAGTTTGTGCAATGATATATCGTAATAATAAACACACCGTCACAAGTCCGGTGATAGACTGCGTTTCCGACCGCTTATCCAGGTGCGGGGAGCGAGGCCAGCAGCCTGTAGAATCTACAAAATAGACAAAAATACACCTTCAAAGCCCTCAGGTAGAGCACGCTCCTGACCGCGGGCCTCCGTGGGAGTCTCTCCTCCATGCTGCCCGCCACCCGCCTCCTCCTCGGCCTGGGCTTGACCGACACCACCCTCGCCCCCTCCGACTACGGCTGGGGCAACACCGGGGGCCTCCTCCTCAATTCCACAGAGCCTCCTCCGGTCCCGGCCCCACCTGCAATGAGATATCGTCAAAAGCACACCTCCAAAAGTCCGCTGGTAGACTGCGTTTCCGACCGCTTATCTAGGAGCGGGGAGCGAGGCCACAAGTTGCCTGTAGACGCTACAATATAAAACTGTATTCATCAAAACAAAAACACACCTTCAAAAGCCCTCCGGTAGATCACGCTTCTGACTGCGGGCCTCCGCGGGAGCCTCTCCTCCATGCTGCCCGCCATCCGCCCCTTCCTCGGCCTGGGCTTGACCGACACCACCCTCGCCCCCTCTTCCTCAATTTCCACGAGCCTCCTCTTGTCCCACCCCCACCTGAAAGGAGACATCGTAACAAAAAAACACCGTCACAAGTCCGGTGGTAGATTGCGCTTCCAACCGCTTATTCGTGAGCGGGGAGCGAGGCCACAAGTTGCCTGTACAAGCTACAACATAAAACCATATTCATCAAAACAAAAACACACCTTCAAAAACCCTTCGGTAGACCGCGCTTCCTCCTGCGGGCCTCCGTGGAAGCCTCTCCTCCATGCTGCCCGCCGCCCGCCCCGTCCTCGGCTTGAGCTTGACCGACCCCACCCTCGTCCCGTCCGACTTCGACTGGGGCAACACCGGTGGCCTCCTCAATTTCCACAGAGCCTCCCACGGTCCCGGCCCCACCTGCAACGCGATATCGGTAGAAGGCACACCTTCAAAAGTTCGGGGCAAACTGCGTTTCCGACCGCTTGTCCGGGAGCGGGGAGCGAGGCCGGCTGCAAGTGTGAAACAATAACACACCTTCAAACGCCCTCTGGTAGACCACGCTTCTGGCCGCGGGCCTCCGCGGGAGCCTCTCCTCCGTGCAGCCCTCCGCCCGCCCCCTCCTCGGCCTGGGCTTGACCGACTCCACCCTCGCCCCCTTCGACTTCGGCCGAGGCTCCATAGGCGGGCTCATCCTCGTCGTTTTCCGCAGAACCTCCCCCGCCTTTGGTCGCAGCTTGAACAGGGACGATGAAAGATTTGGGGAGTGCTTCAACGAGCTGCGGCTTTCAAAGGAAAAAACTGCAACTCTCTCTCAAATGGTGTTTGCCATTCACGCACGCACCTGTGTCTGCTGCTGCATTTTCTGCAGCGTCGTCTGCGTAAAACGCTCTTGCTCCGCCTGCTGCTCTTGCTGCAGCTGTTTCTCCAGACGACGCTGCTGGTGTTGCGCTGCACCTCTTTTTACTGTAGATAGAGCAGCTGGTGTTGTCGCTGGTGTTGTAGCTGGTATCGCTCTTCCCTCTGCTGGCACTGCTGCTGGCGCTGCTCTTCCTGTGCAAGATCCACCTGCTGCTGCTGCTGCTGCAGAAAAAGCTGGTGCTGCTCCGCAAAAACCATGTCGGCGGGGGTGGCGGGGGCGGCGGGAGCTGCGGCTGCGTCGGCGGCGGTGGTGCCAACCTTCTCCTCTTGCTCCACGTGGGGCTCATCGCCCGCGTCAACCTAAACAGAAGGGAGGGAGAAGGCATGTGTTCAAAGCATGTATACTAGTACTGTACTCACTTGTTGCTTCTCTTGAGACGGCTCTTGCGTCTTCTCTTTGGGCAGGTACGACCATTTCCTGTGCGTGACGCCATTTCAATCTCTCTTGCGGACGGCTTGCGGAACAAGAAGATTTTAGTTGTCCCCCCATCGCGATCAACCCACGAACCGTCGTCCGGACAAAAGAGCACAGAGCTGCTGTTCCACCACGGACCATACCCGAGGTCGCCTTGTCTAATATTGTTCTTCTGCTCATCGCGGTAGACTTTCCAAGCTTCGAGGTCCACGGAAGCTGCAGATGGGTTGGACTGGGTGTCGCCCGTTGATCGACCAGAGGAAAGACCGTGAATAAGCAAAAATCAGGCACATCAGCCATACATTTTGTGTCGTGAGGATACTGAAAGGCACGATCTTCTAATCTGCTTCCAAGTGTTAAAAATACTTGCTGGGGGGAAATTGCGAAATTCGGTCTCTGGTTGCTGGTTGTATCCGTGCCATTTTTATGCTGCTTCTATTGCTGGTGAGGTACTGCGGGGTAACGCTTCTTGGTTGCTGAAGTAGTTGTCATCTGGTCCGGCAGCAGCAGCAGCAGCGGCAGCGGCAGCAAAGCAGCGGCGGCAGCAAACTACATGTGCGTACGATCCTTCTCCTTATATTTTCTTCCTGTGTTTCGACTAGAAGCTACGCTTTCGATGCGGTGCCACAGATTATCAGCTTGCTGTAACACGCGAAACGTGGCTGGATCCACGCATGAATGTTATGGCCAAGCCGGCAACGAGCCACATGGAGAGCAGGCAACGCTGCTGTTGTCAGATGCGGACCAAAAACGGCACGGCTATTTGGGACAACGTTGTCCCAAATTTGTATTTGGGACAACACGTCTAACTTGGCGTAGAAAGCTCGGATCGACCTCAAACCACGTTTGTTGTAATCCTACTGGACACAGCTTTCACGGAATGTATTTTGAGTCCACAACGGAGCCGGGGCCGAGGAGATATAGCCTAAAAAAGGGGCTCCTTGTTATGGAGGAAAACGTGGATTTACCGAAGCCACGGAGCCCCTTTTTTAGGCTCTATCTCCTCGGCCCCGGCTCCGTTGTGGACTCAAAATACATTCCGTGAAAGCTGTGTCCAGTAGGATTACAACAAACTTGGTTTGAGGTCGATCCGGAGCCCCTTTTATAGGCTCTATCTCCTCGGCCCCGGCTCCGTTGCGGACTCAAAATACATTCCGTGAAAGCTGTGTCCAGTAGGATTACAACAAACTTGGTTTGAGGTCGATCCGGAGCCCCTTTTATAGGCTCTATCTCCTCGGCCCCGGCTCCGTTGCGGACTCAAAATACATTCCGTGAAAGCTGTGTCCAGTAGGATTACAACAAACTTGGTTTGAGGTCGATCCGAGCTTAGTACGCCGAGTTTGACGTGTTGTCCCAAATTTTGGGACAACATTGTCCCAAATAGCCGTGATATAGAAAAACATAAAGATTGCTCACCTCTAATTGCAGCTGCTGCATACTTTCGGCACCACCGTCGGCAGCTCGGCCACCGTTGGCTGTCTCGGTGTGCCGCTCTTGTTTGCGTCGCAAACCACTCGTTTTTGTCCTTGCCATGGTTGACTGAATATCGGCTCAGCGACCATGGGTAGGGCAACCCGGGAACGAGTTATATTTATTTCGCGCGAAGCGCGAAAAACATACGAAGAGGCGTATTCGAATGACGCGTCCTTCCATTGTCTTAAAGTTTGACAGAAGGAATCCATGTGTGGTTATTCAGTGCCCGAGGTTGCTGGTTCAATCCCCATCAGCGCCAAACTTTGTTTGCACCTTCCTTTTTTCCCGATTGTTCTTCACGATGGGAGGGCCATCACCACCTATTGGCGGTAAATTAGCGAGTAAACCACCGTTTACGCGAAGGAAACTGTAGTTTGTTGCTGTACACGCCTGCAGAATTGCAGTCTGCGCGAAGCATGGCAGCTTTTCCCTGTCTCGCGTGTGCAGCTTCAGAACAACATGTGTTATTTTCTACAGGAAAAGAGTATTCTTCGTGCTCGCCATCAGAACGTGACGTCTTCTTGAAACTATTAGTAATAAACTCTCGCCCACTTGTCGTGTCGTGCTTCGAACCAAAGATACTGAGAAAAAAAAACGGTATCAACATCATAATACATATGACTCGCCGGAACCATGACGCGTAACCGCTACTGCTGTGTCGCACGCTTCAGGTGCAAGCTACTACCACAGAATAACCGGTTCCTCCCTCCATTATATTGCTGGGCGGTTTTATACAACAAGAACACCAGGAGCCCCATGCCCGTTTTACGGATATACAAGTAAAATTCAGCTTTCAGTGTATGAGCCACGGCAGACATTGCAAAGGCAGGGCGGGAACACCCTTTTCTTGCGTGCTGAAATGTATTTCAGTTCGCTCTGTGCGCGCCGAAACCTGGCAAGAGGCATGCAAGAAGGAAACACAGCGAGTGGAAAATCGGACCACGGCTCAAGCTCCATGAGAGAACCCAGGTGGAACCAATTTCGCACACACCACACGGCAACACGGCACAAGGCCTAAGGACTAACACGCAAACACCCCTACGACGAAACACCACAGGGGAAACAAGCTCAAAGTACGAACGAAACATATCTACGGACGGCGAGAGGCGCATGCTACTGGACCTGCTCGTAATCGTTGAAGACTGTGAAAATGCCGTGCACGGGGCGGGTGCGCTCTCCGTGCGCTGTTGCCCCTAGCCGTATGATCTTCGCAAACTTGAACGAAGCATCTCCAGCGAGTACGGTTCCGTCCCAGCGCTGGTGCACGCGGGGCAAATAGTCCTCCCGCGTCCACTTCACGCCTTCCACCCCCAGCACAGGAAGTTCTGAGAAGTACGTGCGCCACACGTCCCGCAGGTAGTGGTCCGAGAGCACCGCACCGCAATACTTCTCGGTGTCATCGAACTCCCAAACTTCTCTGGTACTGGGGCCGCTCCGAACAAGCTCACCCGGCTCGATCGCCGGGCGTCAGCCAGTGACACGTACTTCAGTTGATACACCATAAACTTCCTCGTGTGTGCCTGCACAAATTATTGAGCATGCGATAAGTTTGGGGCGGGAGGGGTGCAACATGTTTCAGAACGGCACGTCGTAGACAGTACCGGGAACATTGTTTCGCGAAACTTCCCTGACCAAATGAAAGAATGGTACAAAAATTTACCTGGCGGATGTACTTGGCAGCGGCGGAGAAGCCCTTCCCATGGGCCAGGTCGTCTGCGAGCCGGTCGACAAGACGAATGTCGATACCCGACCGATGAGTCAGAATGAAAGGAAAAAATTCCTTCGACACGTAGTCAGGAAGGCGATCCAGGCATCCGACATCCCACGCGTTGAAACTGGTAGGGCGCTGCTCCGACTCCTCCACGGTCCCGTTGTATTCAACACACCGCTCGCACTTGTACCTGTCTGCGAACAAACAAGCGGGACAGCCGACAGTCAAACAGGCGGCGAACTGATCCGCGCGGTTTACAAATTGTAACACACCACATACTCGGCGTACCACCAAAAAACCTCACGCTGACTGGGCTTACCGGAATCCTATGATGTACCCCACGTCTTCCTCCATGAACACCCGTCGTGGCCCCTTGGGATTCCATCCATCTGGCGAACCCCTTTTCCCGCACCTTGGACACGCAATTCCCGCCAGCGCTAGCTCCGGGAACAAATACTCGGGTATCCACGCGAACAAGCAGTGGCTTCAGAAGGAACGGAGAAAGTTTCGGCAATCCTGCGCAAAAACGTAGTGGACAGCGGTCATGGAGGCATAAGAAACGAAAACCGAGTTCGCGTAGCTTATGGACGGAAAGAGGTCAATCCCCAGGAGTACAAAACTGCTGTTCAAAGCAGCAAAGGAAACCCGGACGTCGGGTGCATACCTGAGGTGTTCTGCATCGTAGCACACTTCGGGAGAATGAGGGGGCTGCTGTAGGGGAACTTTCCACTGCCTCCCCTAGGTGCCGCCACGCCGCCGCTGTGATGGATGATGTTGGCGTCGATGTTCTTCTTGACGGTACGGAAATGATCCCGCATTGCAGGAGACAACCGTTGGCTATCCTCAACACCACCCCCGCCGACGGGAGGGGGAGCTGACGTTCCCGCCGCTCCACCTGCCCGTGCCGCTGCCCCTCTCCCAGCCTCTCGTACCCCCATCGGTGCTCGTCGTCCACTACCCCTTCCTCCGCCCCCCCCTGCACTCCCACCTCCTTGTGTTTCCCGTCTAGCTCTGCCACTGCCTTGACCTATGCTTGCTGCTCCGACGGCCGCCGCCGCCACAGCCGCAGCTTGAGCTATCGTCCCCCCTGTAACGGCACCTGCCGTGCCTCCTGCCGCAGCTGTTGGTCGAGTTTCAGCACAGGGACTAGAACTTGCAGTGCCGCCTCGTCCTC